GATAAAAAAATATTTATGATCTATTAAATCTAAGATCACAAAAATATTTATGAAATATTTTGGTAAATAATTATAAAATAATCATATAAATCTTATAAATATTTTGTAAATGTTTAATAAATATTTTGTGCTGTCTGTATAACTACATGGAATCTCACATGGGATTCCTGTGAAAACCATGTCGGAGTCCGTATGGTTTTTCATGGGTTTTTGGCCCAAATCACCAGGGGAAACCATATGAATTCCAATATGGATTCCCACCTAATTTTTTTTCAAAGGGAAGCTTTAAGCCGTAAGAAATTAACCAATCACAATTGATTATTCCTCTATAATTTCACTGTAATTGGTCAATTTCTTAAGGTTTAAAGCTTATTACACCTATTGTAGATCGGGGCTTATGGCTACGATTACGGCAATTTGTGTGCGAAGGCCCTAAACGCTCCGCGGCGTGCCAATTGCAACAACGGCGGCGGCCGCGGCGGCGTGCGCCGAAAATTTCACTTGTGACGGCGGCGGAATCGACAGATCAATGAGTACGTTCAGCGCACTCAACAGTTGCACAATAGTTCAGCAATTCGTCAAAGTAATTGGTCTAGATTTAGGGATCTAACAGTAAGAACCAATAATCGCTGATTGTTTAATGAGCGCTTTTTCCGCTGAACGCGTCCAAATTTTACGGCGGTGGTAGCGTAGCGCGGCGGCCACAGACTTTTATACTACTAGACTGCTAACTTCGACTCAGTAGATGGCTCCGAAAAATATGTACAGAAATCTCGCGCATGCGCCTATTTGGTGTTCCGACATTCACAATGTAGCATCTCGTTTTAGGCATTATTGTACTTTAATATACAATTGATCAATCAATTATTTTTACAAATTTTTTATTGTAATGTATTTCACTCTGACGTTTTTCACTCTGTACTTACACAAATATTTAAGCAGGCGGCATCGGCCATATTATATTTATATCCCCTCTTTTTCTGGAACATTAGTTTCAGACATGCGCAGAAGCTTTTTTCCTGTACGTAATACATACTGTTCGGGATCAATTTTACATAGCACTATATAAGGGAGTTAGCAGTCTAGTAGTTATATAGAAGTCTATGGCGGCGACACAGAGGTCTAATAACGATATCTTGGTGGGTTATACTAGAGTCCCTAGAATATAGAGTCTGGCCATTCTTTTCATTAGGTTAGATCTGCGTCCCCTCACAATGGCGGAACAAATAAAAATGTAGCGGGAACGTACATTCGTTTAAAGAATATATATATAAATTAAAGGAAACTATTATTGGAAGGGAAAATTATTTTAATATTTGGATTACTAATACCTACACAGCAGAGGTGGCCAAAATATATCATAGGAATATCCTTAAGATATATTTGGGACATTCCTGCTGTGTGGGTATAAACTTCAGTCTAAAATAAAACAACCTTATCATTAATTGCAAACTTACTGTAAATGTATTTATTTTTAACAATATACTTCTTATTAAAAAATATAGCATACATTTTATTTAAAACTTACATGTAAACAAGCAGAATCAATGTCATTTGCATCTAAAGAGGCACTATTTATATTTTTATTTGATTTATTTTCCAAAAAAATTGTTGGGACTACATGGTTTTTCCTACATCTCTGGTAGAAAATATACCTATTGTATATTAATATAGTTTGTTAATGTATAAATGAAAAACTAAGAATATAAAGAGTGTTATTAATAATGCTTACCTCGTATATAAAACATTTTAGAGAACCCAGGTAGCAGAGTGACGTCAGAAGACGTCTTATTGACGTCATTCTGCTACTTGGGAAGTCAAAATCATTTCTACCAATATTAATAATCCATTGCTTTTTCGTTTCAAATTTTTTGGGAAACGAATTGAATAACCTATTTTCCATGAATTGGAACACTTCCGTATGCAGTAAGACGGCATCCTGTAATTAGTTTCATTTAAGTTTATTTAAATTTTATTTTATATTTTATTTTAATTTTATTTAAGTTTTAGTTAAGTTTACTTCAATAATACTTTTATAACAATTTAATTATGAATGTTGTTAATATTATTTTGAGGTTAGAGAGCGAATAGTTAATATATATTGTATATTCTTAAAGAGTTATATAATGTTAGTTTTATCTTTTATGTTTATTACAATAATAAAGTGAAATATCAATGCAAAATATCTTACTTATTCTTTTCATATCTTTTTTAGCCAAAAACACTACGAAACGACGAGTAAACTTATTTTTTCTGCTCACTCTCCCTCATGACACACACACACATGCTATTTTAAGGGAATCCGGCCCGAATGGACAGACTCTGTATTCTAAGGATTTTAGGTTATATCACCGACGAGGTATTAGGGCCGTGGAACACAGAAAAACTTAAGCAGTAAGACGTAAGCAATAAGCAAATTGACCACCACAGTCGTTGATTCTTGTGTCGTAAGAAGAATCAATGATTGTGATTGGTCAATTTGCTTACGTTTTACTGCTTACGTTTTACTGCTTAAGTTTTTCTGTGTGCCACCAGCTTTAAGGGACGTCTACATTGGAAGTAAATAGCAAGAAGTAGGAAGTAAGAGTCAGAAATTGACCAACCACAATCGAATGTGAGAAGAATAATCAACTATGATTGGTCAATTTCTTATTCTTACTTCCTACTTCTTACTGCTTACTTCCAATGTAGACGTCCCTTTAGAAAAGGGACTCGATTGACCACGATACGATTGGACACAGATTGTAATGATTGGTTCGACCTAGTAATTCACTAGATAATTCTTTTCATTGGTTTGTTGTGTCCAATCGTACCGTGTTCAATCGGGATGCTCCCATTAGAAAAGACCATCGGCTTTACGGGCTTTAGCGACATGGAGAAATCTCACCGTACGCTAGCGCCCTCTCAGTAAGGTTGCGTTCTTTTATTTGCAACAGATGTAGCTGAATGCATCTCAAGGATGCATCAAGATTGTACTTTTGAAGGTTATTAGCTAGTGATGTACTGTCCCTAGAAAATAAATTTTCCTATTGGCTATTGGATCGTCGTATGTCCAACGTCGGTCTCAATCAGTAATGAATTGCCAGTAATCAGTATCAGTATTGCCTTTATAAGAATTATGAGAGAGAGAGAGAGAAAGAGAGAGAAAGGGAGGAAGAGAGAGAGAGAGCACTCGCAGTGAGTTTTACAACACAACCTCTTTCAGAGCATAAGCACCCGGGTGTATATCAGTTGGACACGGAGCAATTGGACACAGTCCAATCACAAGTCGCTGTTCCAAGGGACCCTATAAATGTCTCTAATCACACGGTGCTGTGATTGGCTGTGTCCAAATGCACCGTGTCCAAGTGCACCGCTCCCTAAGCGCCCAGAGCATCACGGAACTGAGATAATAGAGTTTTTACGCCATATCTGAAATAAAAAGTAAGAAGAAAGAAAAAGAGCAGTTAATAGAACAATCATCAAGCGCTTTTCATTTTGTTTACATTATTAGCATATGTTTTTATTATTTTTATTATTTTTTTACAATCATGAGTGCAGATATACAAATAGACAAACCGGTAAGTTGATACTGAGAATTAATTCTTTTCTCTCTCTGTCTGTCTCTCAACCAAACCTTGCCAGCCAACGCGAATAATAGATCCCATAGCAGATCCATAGCTACCAATATCCGCATTAAGCTCGTGTTCTGTGAACAGCGTCTATTAAAATAACGTTACAGCAGATTCGCGACAGGAATGGCCATTCTTATTACCCACCTGCCGTAAGTTTATTTTAATAGATGTTGTTCACAGAATATGAACTTATAATGAGATAACTATGTATTTGTTATAGGATTCTATTGTAGCCCGCAAACTTTGCTGATAGAGTTGTCTTTTCAAACACTTTCACACCAAGAGCGTCATTTCATTTCCCTTTAGCTAGACCATATTTATGAAAATTTAATCGATTCAAGAACCCAGATAGCCAAATCTGCGCGAGCAGATTTTGCGCAGAGTCTGTCAACAGTGTCTGTAGACAGAATGGCAACAGATTACACACAAAATCTGTTCTGACAATAGATTGGTGACAGACTGCGCGCAGAGCCTGTCGATAGACTCTAACGACAGACTGACAGGAGATTGCGCGCAGATTCTGTTTCCTAGATAGGCTATTTAATTCTATCAAGAGTCATGTATGTTATTAAATGGGGCAGTTTCACCATATAAAACTCTGAGAGGAGTTAAGATAATTATATTAGGACCATAACTTAGTTTCCGCCCAAAAAATACTGAGAAAAAGCATTTATTGTAAAAAATTTATTTAAATTATTTCAATGAAAGTATTTTCCATCACTTTCTACAACTTTTTGCCATCTTTCTGGCAACTGGGCGATACCATCTCGATAAAACGATGTTTGTTTCGAAGCAATCCATTCGTCCACCCATTCTCGCACTTCTTCAACATTTCGGAAGCGTGTACCAC